TTTTCCAGCCGCCAGCAGGATGGAACAATTCGAGCAGCTGCTCACCTGCGCCATCTGCCTGGACCGCTACCGCAACCCCAAGCTGCTCCCCTGCCAGCACAGCTTCTGCATGGAGCCCTGCCTGGAGGGCCTGGTGGACTACGTGCGGCGCCAGGTAGGCCACTCGCCCCGCCCCCTGGGGCACCGCCCCTCACTCTCCCCCGTTCCAGGTCAAGTGCCCCGAGTGCCGCGCGGAGCACCGCATCCCCTACCAGGGCATCCAGGGCTTCCCCACCAACGTGACGCTGCAGCGCTTCCTCGAGCTGCACATCGAGATCACCGGGGAGCTTCCGGACCCCACCAGCGGCCAAGTGATGGAGCGCTGCAACGTCTGCTCGGAGAAGGCCTACTGCAGCTTCTGCCACCACTGCGACAAGAAGGTGTGCGAGGAGTGCAAGGGCGCCCACATGGAGATCCTGCGCAGGGAGATCGCGCGCATCAACAACCAGGTGCGCAGAGGCATCCACCGGCTGCAGGACAGCCTCCACCTGGTGGAGAAGAACACGCAGCACATCCAGACCAACTGTCTGTCGGTCAGCGAGGAGATCGAGGAGATCTACCGGCGCCTCAACAAGGCGCTGAAGGACCGCACGGAGCACCTGCGCGGCGAGATCGAGCGCTACCTCAGCACGGAGCTGCGCAGCCTCACCGGCCTCAAGGAGAACCTGGGCCAGGAGATCGCCAACATCCTCAGCAACTGCGACCTGGCCGACAAGCACATGAGCGAGAGCGCGGACATCTGGGACGACTGCGAGCTGATGGACACCAAGGAGATCTTCCTGAAGACCATCGAGTTCATCCGCAACTTCGAGTACGAGAACGCCGACTACTCGCGCAGGCTGCGCCTGGTGCTGGCGCACGACCCCAACCAGCTGGTGCTGCACGTGGCGGGCTACGGCGACCTCAGCGTGGCCAACCCCAACAGCCCCTTCGCGCAGGGCGGCGCGGGGCTGCTGCAGCCCCCGGGGCCCGGCCTCATGCGCTCCAAGAGCGACCACCGCCTGGCCTTCCGGCAGCCCGAGCACGAGCGCTACGGCGAGGCGGAGGCGGAGCCCCCACTGAGCGGGCGCAAGTTCGGCGAGCGGCCGGCGAAGGCGCACAGCTACGGGAGAGGCGCGGGAGAGTATGGGGGAGAGGAGCACGAGCACGAGGGCCCGCGCGCCGCCCGCTCCAAGTACAGCAGCCGGTTCAGGAGGCGCAACACGGAGGAGGAGTCGGACGCGGAGGGCCGCGGGGTGCGGTTCCACGAGCAGAAGAGGGAGGAGCGGGAGCGGCCGCTGGACACGGAGGACGTGACCCGGGGGCCGCTGAGCGGGATCACGCGGCTGGCGGACTCGCCCAGGGTGATGAAGAAGCTGCAAGAGAACCCGACGGGCAAGAAGGAGAAAAAGGAGAAAAAGGCGGCGCCCGAGCCGGCGGCGGCCAAGCGGGCGCCGCCGCCCGCGGCGCGCCAAGCGAGCGAGGAGGACGAGATCGCAAAGATTAAGCGCCAGAACAAGGGGGCGACCACCTCCGCGGACGTGGAGGCGCCGCCCGCCGAAGACCGACAGCGGAAGACGCCCGCCCCCGAGGTGAGTCTGGATGAGTAGCCCTCTAAGTGCCTGATTTAGCCTAGTTTGTAGTAGAATAATTGCTTGCCCCGCCCACACGACACATTGGCATGCTTGTTCTCCCCCAACTCTCCTCACTCCATGTCGATTGGCCCTCCCAGCAAGCGCGAGCACGTCTTTGCCAGGTACTTTGTGCATACTGTGTGTGTTTGTGATGCTCCCCGTCCCCTTGGGGGCGCTCGCCTGATGATGACGGGAAATCGAAACGTTTCAGATGGGTTCTATACTGTTGAGGCGGACTGTTCGGGCATTTTATTGCCAACTTCTTTTTGGGTGYTTCGCCTCAAARATTGTTGTCTTTTATTACAGATTGAKAAACAGTTYTSTTAYT